ATGCTTCACTTACAATGTTGAACAGGTGTTGAACGATCTCTGTTTACTGCATAAACTCTTCACAAAACCTGAAAATTAAAACCTCCTTAAGATTTAACATTTTAAAGTTTTAATTGGGAGTAAGAAGAAGTGAACTTGAGAAGATGTAAACACCATGAAGAAAACATAGTGTTCCAATATAACATGCAGCTAAATAAAGGAAATCTCACATTTTAAAATCTGTCTGACACTCCGACAGCATCTCCATAGGGATAATGATACTTTCTTTCGCAAAGCACTATGCTATCTGAAAAGCTGTAAAGGAACTAAGTGTTATTACCAGCAATGGGAAAGGCCTATTAGATCATCTGTCCATTGCTCTTGCAACTATAACAGAAAATAACAGTGATTTGCTGCTGTAATTTGACAGCGACTTTTGTAAAAATGTCCTTTCCTCTTAGATCTCTGCAAGTTTCAGTTCCAGAGAGTCAATGAGCTGGGTGGCTCACTAACTTTGTGACAGTCTCTAACTTCTATGAAGTACAACCAAGATATTAAATACATATGTTTCAGGCCCACTTTTCCACCTCCTTCCTTCATCCTTTACTTTTGGAAAAGGCAGGAAAGAGCAATCCTCATGAACAGCATGGTCAAGGGTCACAGAACTGCTCTTTCCATCTGCAGAACATTTCCCTCTCATCCCTTTCCAAGGCAGCATCCTGCACCTCTCCCGCTGGGGGTTGTGCATCATGTAGGAGTGACAGTGGTGTTTTCCAACAGACCTCCTACTCAGAAGCCTTGTATAAAATATACCCATCATCACCCACTGTGGTATGAGCATGCATCCATCATGTAAGCTAACCATGGTGGATGCCTGATCAGATAATGCAGCATCTCATGTGACGGCAATTGTGAAAGATCTGCAGAACTCTTCGTGGTGGATACTGTCAGGTCAACAAAGATCCTTCTCCTTATGGTAAAACACTCTGCTTCTCCACTGCTTTCAAGGGAAAGAATTGTTTCAAAAAATTTCTTGGCATGTTTGCTACAACCAGTTTTCAATTTAAGTGCCAATATAACAAAATGTCTGGAGGGAAATCAGCTGAAGTATTCAGAAGATGACTCTCAGTATGATTCACACTGCTGTGAGCAAAGAAGAGGTCTGTCTGGCCTTCTGTACTGGAGTGATAACAGATATTGGATGCAGTGTGTACTCAGATAAAGTTAATAGCAATGACATCTGGTAGATGACAGAGAGGAGCAAACTCTTGTGATCTGCTTTTTAACACTCTGTGCCCAAACCATTATATGTCAGACTTGGTAAAAGTGAATAACCTTTCAGTATCTACCACTCCTCCCTCCCACACTCTCAGTCAAATGAGGCTGAAGGACTACTAGACACAGGGACAGCAGATCTAAAAGCAGCCAAGGAAAAAGGATTCAACGTATGCAGCTCATTAGTAGTAGCCTCCTCAATATTTAGCAGTCACTGCACATTCCCAAAGCCCTCTCACAGTCATAACAAATGCTCACACAAAGGCTTGTACCTTCAAAGTGCTTCACCAACATAAATATATTAATAAGACCTTTCCCAGAAGAGAATGCAGTGTCAGAGAGATGCCATTCAAGTGACTAGGCTGTGAGAGATAGAGCTTACATTATTTCATTAAACCTTCATCCTCCGTCTTCAATTTTAAGCCCATTTTAAAAAAAGGACAGAATGTACAGTGGAGCTTTATGAGCAAAAAGAAGAGTAACTGCTTGTAAAATTGTTTTGCCCCCTATGATTGAAGTGGTAATTATATTGTAATTCTGTGATGTGCATCAACTGAATCTGACATAAACTAAAAACCAAGATTTTTATATTCACTTTGACCGATGCCACCTAGATAGTTCTTTTAAAGTGACTAGTGACAGCTGCCACTGATTCACTTTGGTATACATCTTGTCTAGGGGTCATAATTAAAACATTAAACAGATACTTTGGCAACTTATACTTAATTTCAAACTTATACTTAATTTCATATTTAGAATCGTAGTTAGCACTAGGTTGCTGAGAACTGACAAACTTGCCTAAGTGTTGTAAGGGCAAGAAAGGAAATAAAGCCTGTCATTCTTCAAATATTGCAAATCTCATGCAGATGTGCTTTTCAAGGACAAACTCATTACACAATTATAATATGTGTAATAGTCAACAAAAGATATTTTATTAGCAATAGGTTTACATTTGTCATAAATTTTTTGATGAAATGCAGTTGCTCAGGTTTTAATTTGTTATTTTAGTAAGCCAGACCGCCATATAATATTCATGATCACTACCAAGAGACAAACATGTTTCTACTGCTGCATATCTGATATAGGTAAATCATGTTAGCCTTCCTACACACAGTGTTGTCTTTTCTAATTCTGAAACCAGGGTACTTCTTGGTTGCAGCTGCATCTGCCGTGAATTCTGCAACATCTGCTGGGTCAGATGACAATCCCTTTACACAGGTATGATCTCTCCCATCCCTACTTATTACCACTTAAAATACACTAGAATTTGCTTGGAATCTTTTCTGCTGAGCAGGGACTGGAACATCAAAGATGGTAAGGTACTTGAATCAAATATGGAATATGCTGGAAGATGCATGACATTTCATGTGAAACACAGCTCCCAAACTTCTGACAAGATGCACCTCTCCTGGTTCTTGGTAGAGATTTCTCTTCCGAACTGGGCTAAGCAATTATTTGAATCTGGCTCAACATATATATGACAGAAGTAGAGGTTCCATAATAGAGCAGAATTAAGTTTGGATTAAATACACTTGTCTAATGAGTAAGTGGTTTTTGTAGAATCACTTTTTATTTGTACAGTGAGCTTATAAGCTGTTACAAACCAGCTACACATAGTATATAGAAAATTAAGATTAAAATGTCTCCATATACCCCAAGTTATGATATTTTTCCATATTGACTGGATACCTTGCATGCTTGAGCATTGAGATGCAAAAATAAAACATGAGACCTCCTGTAGTATGAAAAAATATTGAAGGAGTTGGTCTAAGCATAGCTTTTCATGATGCTTTCATATCATCATATTGCCTAGCTTGTTATAAATAAAATGGCCATGCTTTGGTGGCAACTTCAAAAAGGTTCCATCAAAAAAGTATAAAAATAACAGTGTTTTTTCTGCATAAACAGTATCTGAAATTTGAAGAAAGGTGAGGGCAACCTAGATTTCATCTCTACAGCAAACTATTCAAAGCTCTTGCAATACTCTTCTAATATCCAAATACTTCCAGAATGATTTATTTTAATTATATCCTTCTGTTCTAATAAATAGTATTTTCCAACTCTGAATGCATTTCTGGATGTAGCTCACACACTCAATATCTGTTTCAAGCAAGGATTTAATCATATTGTATTAGAAGGGTATGAATTTTATGAAAGCAATCAAGTGACTGCATCAGGTCTTACTGTGGATGTTAGCTAGAACACTTAAGAAGCAACTTTCTATGCAATAAAGCAGACGAAACCCCACACTCATCTGTAGCATGTTATCTGTAAGCTGCATATAGGGATATCATTGTTTATGTTCTAAAATCCTAAAGAAGGCAAAGTGACAATTCCTTTTTGCATAGTTTGGCTTATTTTGTGTGCTTTTAAACAGAAAAGCATAAAACACTTTGAAAGTACAGATAGTAGTGTAATAAAAGACCAATTCATTACTTAATAAAATTTGGAAGGATTAATACACTCCAATTTCACATTTTCAGCTTTCTAGTATGCTGGACGCTTAAAAGAACAGGGCCCTTGAACAAAAAACTTCCTTTATCTCTTTTTTTCATTTTCATATTTAACTCTAAGAGTGGAAGAAAAATGCCCCACATAGCAGGAGACTGATGTCACCTGCAGAAAGAGAGCCCTGCAAATATTGCCACTATGAAACAATGCCATGTAGAACAGTCTCAATGCAGCAGTGGCTTTCAAATCAATAAGCAGTTGAAAAAAGCCATCTGAAAATACAGTCTTTAAAACAAAGACTCAAAAAGGAAGACTGAAGTCTACCATTTCTGAAAACCTGAGAAGGCTGCGTGGCTCTGCATTTGATGCTGTTTTCACCACTTTTAGTCTAAATCAATACTCAGGTTTTCACCACTTGTGAGAAGGGAAGATTTCATTCAGAGATTGCCCCTTTCATTACAGAAACTAAGATTTGAATCCAAAGCACTTCATTAGCTGAATTAGACGATGAGAAACTCAGACTCATGATTATTTCTCCTCCCACCAGAGAATTAAAGCATGCTAGGCACTCTGAGTGGGCATGTGCTGTCTACCAATCAAAAGAAAAAAAATGTAAAAATTAGGACAAAATAGTGTTACAGTAAGCAAAAAGTTGGATGTATCAGTTTGAACAAGCTCATAGGATGCACAATCTGATAATGAAATCTTTCCAAGAAGTGTCTTGTGTACATGTAGCACTATACCTAATAAATAACGAATCCAAGGGATGTTGACAATGAGAGGAAAATAAAAAAGGTGATAAATATTTGAGTAGGATGCCATTCCAAGGTTTTTGTAAAATTTATATTTCTAATCAAAGATTATTATTGGATAGCAGTTCAACAGAACTGTGAGGTATTTCAGTGAAACTCTACCATTATCATCAGGCACAATAAGATGTCTTGAGATGCAAACCCCCAAGAACCACCAAGAAACCTAAATGCACACCACTTAAAATCAAATGCAAATTCTATGTACCCAAAATGCACCAATTCAAGAAAATGTCAAACTCATGAAAACATTTATAATATGTTGCATAAAGTATCAAAAAGATTGACTGAATTAGCAGAGGAGAATGTTGCATTCAGTGAGTATTGGAAAAGATGCATATTAAAAATTTATCAGGCAAAGTAAATCTGAGAAATGCTGATAACAGATGGGAGCTGTCTTGGCAAAAAAAAATATTGCTAGTTTGTCTGTTTTTCTAGGTGAGGTGAAAAGTGTTCTGGGAGGAAAAAAAGTCTGATTTTTCTTACCTCTTCTTTCTCTGCACTTTGCAAGTCCCTCCACTCCTCAGTGACATGACCGAAGTCCACTGTGTTCATTGCAACTTTATATTCCCCAATGATATCATGTTTGGAGAAACGATCAAAGTCATAAACTGCCATCACTAAAGTTTTTCCACCCAGCTCAGAGTATGGCACCTGCAAAGACAAGGAAATGACAAACTCTGCATCTGAGACAATAAAGATTGGTCCACTACAATGCAGATCTATTTCTTTGGTTTATCAGCTGTCATCTCAGGTAAATTGAACTGCAGAGAAAATTATGAGGTGTATTTGTTTCAGAGTCACCAGATGCAGTATTTCTTGAGACAAGGCTCTGGCACTCAATAGAACAATGTGGCAGCTCACTCATCACTCCTGGGTTTTTCTCATTCTACTTCAAATCATTTTGTGGGTGATGAAACTGAAACAAGAAGCCAAATTACTTGCACTGAAGACACATGAACTTTTCACACAATGTTGTTTTTTCCTCAATAAATCACCTGTCATCACTTAGAGATGGCTAGCTCCCAGACTCATGAAAAAACCAGAACTGGCTTACTATATATGAAACAAAGTAATTAGACACTGGATATGTCTCTTACAGTACCAATACCTATTACTTACCAAGGCATATTTTTCAATACTACATCTTTCACATGTTACATATTAAGGTGCTTTTTAAGTCAAAATGTGGAACTAGAAATTGTGGTGGCAGAAGGCCATGTTCTGACAAATTCTCCAGCTGTTCTCATGTGGTTCCAACAGATGCTGAACGAGATGTTTACGAGTCACATTTTTAATATTAGGATGGAGACATGCAGTTCAGGTAAGCTACACCTGAGTGGCTGTCTGAAAAGGTCTGATGTAGGAATTGTTTGGAGTTATGTGAACACTTGGTCAATCTGAGTATATCCTGCAAGGATAAATGGTTTCCATAGGATTCAGTAAATACTTTATTAATTAGAAAGTGAAAGCGTGGCATTACCATTGGCCTTGTTAACCTCCATGTTCTTGCCTGCTTAAACCCTAGGACTGTTGTCTTTTGTTACTGTTCAGCTTCCATTTGCTTATTAAAATACTAAGTAACAACAAGTAATTTTCCCTTTACATAACATCTTATATAACATTTAGAATAAGCCTATCAAGTTGAGAGCCAGATCTAGCTTCCATTATTGAGTCGAATAGTTTCAGTGGTACAGGGCTGTGTATCTTAGTAAATACTACAGCAAAATCTATTTTCCATTTTCTAAATTATCTGTAGCTCCTAAAAAGGGCAAAGGTATGTGAAAGGAAAAATTCTAAATAATGTTAGTTTTATTTTTATACAGCCTGGAAAACGGGAGAAGAAAAATCTTCTGAAGTTTATTTTTGTTAGTTTACAGTACCACTTAATGGATCCTGGTCACATGGAATACGAAGACTACATTCATCATTATTTACTTTTCCGTACTTGACCTCAGTAAAGCTCATTTTAGCTACCTCCCTTTCTAAATGTTTCCTTCATTTATTACTTCTAATGTTGCCTCAGTCTCCAGCTTTGTTCTGGGCTATCAAGGATGGCCTCAGCTCTTGTGAAGGATTGCTTCCTCTCCCTGCTCTCTGTTCAGATGTAATCAGTCTCTTGACTTAAAGCAAGTGGTAAAAGGACACGTATACAGGAGTGTTTTTCTGGCACAGATGTGTCACTCCTCTAGACATGAACCCTGCTCCCACTTTGGATTTGAGGAGGAACACCTCCCTCTGCCAGGCTGGTGCATTGCAGCTAGGACTTCTTGGTTCCTTTTGGCACTGCAGCGTGGGTACACAATTTAGACAGCTGCAGTCTGACAAACACTTGCACCCTGGATGTCTGAGAAAAAGAAATGAAAAGGGGAAGGACTAAGGTTCAGGGCTCAAGATGCAATGCAGCAGAAACACAAGTCAACTCATTCCCATTGGCTGTACTTTGGGAGGAAGGCAGGTAGCTGTGCCCTGCAAAAAGCCACGGGCCTGGGCTGCCTGGTGGGCAGCGCTGCCAGACAGATGGGAAGGATGCCAACAGCAGCTGTGCACCACCTGAAGTGGGTCACAGGAGCAAAGTTCTGCACAAGTAAATGAGACACTGTCAACAGTGCCCACAGAAGTTGTTATTATAGTTGCAGTTCCAGTTAAATGGTCACTAGAGTCCTCAGAACAATGACAGTACTAGGCATGCTTTGCTGGTTATCTCTCAAGTACAGGCCACAGACCACAGGGGATGATCAGTACCATATTGAGATGCACCTAAACACACTGTCAGGTCTGGCATGGAAAACAAACTGCCTTCTGGAGCATAAAATTTAAATACTGAAGATGTGACTTACAACAAGTGGACATTATAGTCCAGAAGTGGCTGACCTGATTTATAACTTGTGTCTTCATCTTAGATGACAGCATTATTTGTTCTTTCTTTGCTTTTGTGAGCTGCATAGGAATACGTAATTTAGAACTCTGTTCTCTTAAATATTCTCTTAGGAAAGCTCAAGAAAGAAATAACTCCCCACAAAAGATTACTTTTATGAACATCTTCAAGGAAAAAATAAGCTTATATATGCAGTAGTAGTTGTGGCCTACAGGGATATCTTTCTCATTGAATGATTTCATAGCCTGAGTCTTTCACTGCCCCTGTCTTCAATCTGTAGCTATTAGATTTGGGCACAAAGAGAAAGGCCTGAAGTAACAGCAGAGGAATGTATATAAGCAGAAGCCCTGTAAAACACACTGTACAGTATTCCTTTATACTATTTAACTGGGGTTTGAATTTGGCCACAGTTTTAGAAAAACATTATTAATAGATACTATTGGAACAATGTAAATGCTGCAATGTAAGGCTTACCTACGTTTATTTAATTAAACCTGAAAAAGAATTTATTTTCATACATAAAGTAGCATGGCAAAGAACTGCCATGACGAAGTCTAGCAAGATTAATCTGCCATAATGCCCTTCACCATTTACTTCCCTTCAGTTTGAATTTATATTTCAGGAAATGTTATCCTGAATTTAATAAATCTGATATTTAAAGAAAACATTGGTCTAGTGAAATTTATACGACATTTGTCAAAGTGCCACTGTTTTCTGAATTTCTTGTACATTTTATCCAGCCATAAAATATGGATCAGATTGTCATCTATAAGGATAATCAAAGTGCCTAAAACCAAACTGTACCTTTTAAACCTATCTGACCCTGTATTATATAGCAAGATTGAGCATCGTGGCTTTCTACAACATGAAAAATTATTTTGCTGAGTTATCAATTAACTAAGACATCTAAATTCATAGCCAAGCATGAGATACAAAGTGGTTAAATTAAGAAATATCAATAATTATTAAAAAACTACCTTGAATGTAAATTGCTCATTGAAAACAGGGTTAAGGGTCTTTCTGTGGACTTTTGTTTCATATTTCTTCTTCTTATCCGGCAGCAGGAAGACTTTCACATAGGGATCAGATGTACCACCCATATCTAATGCAGGCAGCTCAGCTGCTTGAATAATCCCAACCAGAAGCTGAAAAGAGAGGAAAAAAAGCAGAATGAAATTTCAAATAGATATCTATAAAAATACTGTAACAGAGGAATGCATATGCAGACTCTATTTCTGGTCTAGGAGAAACTACCCTCGCTTCTCCCTGCCACCCCCCCACTTTAAGAAAGGCAAATGAAGCAACACTATTGACTTTAGAAAAGCAATTATAGCAGATGCAGACTGTACAAAGGCTGTTTTAAAGCAGAAAAGAGGTTTTCAAAGGGCAGCTGATTACAGCTAAATACAGACTTCATCCTTTTAAAGACTGCAATCAAATAACTTTCAATTGCTCTCTCTTCTTGTGCATTATTTTTCTATGCTGAGCACCATGAATAGAAATCACATTATTAAACAATCAAGAATGTCTAATTTTGACTACAAAATTTGTATTCTAAACCCCTAACACGTAACCTTCCCCCAGCCAAACACAAAAGGTGATAAAATCAAATGCAAATTCTCAGGCAGAGCTTGACTGAAAACAAATGAATCTTGCAGTCTTCCTTATATTTACATTCTCTTGCTATGTACACAAATTTTCCCAGGTAGGAAACTAAGGACAGCATTTTCAAAAAATATCTCATGAAAATGAACCTTTGGTAACTAAATCCTAATAATAATTTGTAATCTCATTGCAAAACAGAAACATTTTATTTTTAAATCTCTTATACGCTTCAAAGATAAGACTGCAGCACAGATGGAACTTGTAAATGTCTTGGCTGGTTTTTTGTGTTATAAATGAAGGCTTATGCTAGGTTAACATATTATGTTATCTTAAGTTATGTTATGTCATGTCACGTCACGTCATGTCATGTAATCTAGACACCCCGACTTCATGAGGCCTCATCAGCATAATGCAGCTGAGAAAAAGAAAATATTTTTAATCTTGTTTCATAGATATAAAACTAAAGTAAACATTGAAGTGTTTCTTCAAGATCATCCTGAAGATATTAGGAACCAGGAATGAAATCTAAGAATATTTTCTTCTAAATCAGTGCTTCAATCATAATATATTTGCTTCTCTCATGGATGAATTGTTTAAGATTGGAAACAGGAACTCTTATCAACTGGAATACAGAACAATGTAGTTAATCTGTGAAAGAAACTTCTGGATTCTAAGAGACTCCTCAAAGTTGGATTTAAAAGTTGGACAGTTTTAAATTTACAGTATGGCCTGCATGCTTTCCCACTGATAGGACTCTTAAGTTCTATGAAACATTTTCCTTTTGCTGTATGAAACTATTCTTTTGTGTCTCATTTTTATTCTAGATGCATCAGTTCATAAATACACAAATAGGCTCAGGATCTACACCAAGTTTTTCACATCAAAGAGTGAAAAACAACTCTATGATTTTTAGTTAACATAGTGGAAAAAGCAATTCAATTCCCCTTTACAATTTCTCTCTCTAAAACTGAGGCACAGTGCTCTGGAGAGTTCCCTGGTCATCTTGTATTCTTAACCCTATGCAATATATTAGCCAAATTTTGGGACTGTCATTTCATGCCATTGCACTATACCAACTTAAATTAATCCCCACTCCTACTCTTTTACATCACCTATCCTTTGACAAATTTTAAGCTGCTACATAGTTTAGAGCAGCAAAACAAAATAGAAATCCACAACTCAGATAATTTATTATCTTAATTAAATACAATACAGACTTACAGATTTGTAGCTCCTCCATCCTATTTTCCTTTGTAAAATATGGCTCACAAAATCAACATACCCTTTAATAAAATTCACACAGAAAATTTGTTTTCATAGTCGAAGAAAACTGAAATCCATTTTTCAGAACACATTTGCAGCTTTTCCTTTCCCCCTCATTAAATCTTCTGCTTCTGAAGGGTCTACACTTCATACTGATTTCATACTGATTTCAAGGGGGATCAGTGTGACTTATCACATGGCCCAGCAATTTGCTCTGGGAGTTGAGGAAAAGCTCCTTTAGCAACACTTTCTTGAAAGGCTTCAGAACTATTTTTAGCTCTTGCATTGTAAAACAAGCACTGGTAGTCAGAAGATTGTTGAAATACAGGCAAATACTGTTTACTATGCCAGGCCATAGCTGTGTATAAATACCTTCCTGCTAATAGAGAAATTTTTCTTAATTTCTCTTATTGTATTTGCCTTGCAACAAGTAAGAGTACCATGCTCTATGAACAGCATCAAATAAAGAATATGAATGTGGAATTTATCACAAGTACATATGGAGGGCAGTTCAGGTGGTGAAGAAGAATTAACTGGAATTTATCTTGACTAGTCATTTCTTTCCCTAAACAGGAAAGAAAGATGTGATTTTGACTAATATTGTCAAAAAATTAAATGCAGGATATGTGTTCTCAAGTTTACTGAAAGATACACAGTAGAAGTGAAGAACTCAGATGAGTTGGTGTGCTTTGGGCCAAAACTGATCACAGTGAATTTTAATGTGAGGCTCTGAATTGGCTTAATTGACAAAACTGATCCCTGGCAAAGAGGCCAGGGAGTGGAATAAAATATGTTCAGCATGTGGCCAGACCTGTTAAGCTGGTCAATTCCAGGCCTTCACATTACAGTGTCTACTAATTCTGAAAACTTAAGTACGCCAAAGTTTAGTCTTACTAGCTTCAGAGCAGAGTACTGAAGGAGTATCAGTCCTTAAATTCTTGTCCAACCTTCCTGTTTTTTGGGGTACAGACCTTTGTATTTGAACTTTTACTCCAGACTAGAATTTTGGACAGTGTACTTTCATGGAGAGCAACTGAACCTGATGCAGTTAGTTATCACAGCAAAGCAAACACCTGATGAAGTGAGAGAAAGCAGTCTTACCAACCTTCTAAAAGACCCAGTGAGAATCAACTTACCTTTAGGCCCCTCTATTTTTCCTGCCATTTGTGTTTACTTACATTTTAAATAGTTGAAGGCTGAAACTAGTTTTAGTGACTGCATGCAAACTCTGTAATTTATGTGGATTGACACTGGTTGGTGATGCTTTAAGTTATTAATAATCATTAGGCAAACCAGATATTCAGTTTTTAATTAAAGGTGTAATATAAAGTCCAAGTGCATCCAATACCAATTTAGTAGTACCTCTGTAATGAATTTTCTGTCTTACTTTCTCCGTTTAGTCCATGCAAGTAGTAAGGATTTGGGAAATATCTACTCTAACTTAATGTATTACTTCATTCTCCACTTGCACACACAGAAACAAAATATTACAGGTTGGTTGTTTCAAACCTGATTGTTCTGGAAGTCATAATCCAAAGAATACTGTATTTTCCCTAGCTTCTCAACTTCTTTGGCTTCTTCCTTCTCTTCCCCATCAGTCAGCCCAGTCTCAGCATCATCATCCTTAAGAGCCTAGAAAGAAGAAATGTAATATTCGTAAATGAGGCAAACCGTTAAGTAGCAGTTTAAAATAGACACAATCCTCAAATCTATTTTAGAGCCATTAAAAGCAAGCAAAACAGCAGAAATTCAAATATGCAGTTTTCATATATATCTCTACTTTCTGAATTGCTCAATAAGATGTTATAAATCAGCAAGCAAGCAATGGAAGTAGGAAGAAAGCTCCTTGGACTATAACAAGCAAGGATTGTTACAAAACCTGCAAGTAGAAACAAAATATCATCTTGATGTGAAGAAATAGTTCTTCTGGGCTCAGACTGGCTCTTAAAGAGGCACAAGGAGGCAAACATGCTATTAAATAAGCCAAGTCACGCATTCATTCAACTTAAGAATCTTGGCAATGTCAAACCTGGTTGTACATGCTGTGCATTGTTTGCATTTGGCTACACATTTCTGTAGGACTACTGTGATAAAGAGCATGTGCTGTGGATGAGCTCTTTCTACAATCATATGCCAAACATTGTTCATGTTTTTTAGAATGAATATGGAAGCAAAGTTTCCACCATGCCATTAGCAAATGCATGTTCCTCCTTTTCCCTCCCTCCCGAGACCAATTTCCTTTTTATTCATTCTCGCAATAAAGCTTGGCTGAACCAAATTGATTGCAAGTTGATTTTGTTTGCTTAGAAAGAAACACAAAAATAAAGATATACAGTACTGCTTGCAAGCTTTGTCTATTGCATATAACCTATTTTTTAAAGGACACAGCAGTTACCTTAGATTTTATACATAATTAAAATACTAAATGATGTAAATTTTTTTTTCCTGTACCAGAAAGCAGAAGTATTTTCACTGCATAAAAGGTAATTCATACAATTATTAAACCATATGAACCATAATTAACTACGTAGATCTTATTCTTGCAGATTCTTTCCTGGATAAGTGAAAAATAGACAAAAGTGATGAGGCAAATAGTGAAAAAATGTGAAAAATGTGAAAGTAAAGTTGAGAGTGTGAAAATAAAGAATCAATACTGAGCATTCATCCAGAACTATTTGCGTGTTACAGCAAATAGAATAGATGTCTGTAAGAGCCCTATCCGAACGAAGGTTCTTTCTGTATGAAGTTTCTGTTTGCACAGACAGACAAAGTGCCAGAATAAAATGTGTTCTTTGTTGCAATGTAATTTTTCTGCAATTGTGTTTTTTTTGTGTCGTAGGAAACCCACAGCATTTCTTAACAAAAGGATGCTGCTGGAGCTCTCTGAAAAGGTAGCAAGGCTAGAGAGTAATGTACACAGCTGATAGTGGTTAAGGAAAGAAGAAACATGAAAGCAATAACATTCTCACTCAGCCTTGAATACAGTGAGGGCCACGCAACAGTTGTGTGGGTTTGGAAAGAAGGAAGATTCATCTCTCAAGTAGAAAATGTTCTTCTCCAGAAGCCAGATCTAAATAAAAAAGGTCAGACTCAAAACTGTATGATACTAAGCAATTATTTCTCTACTTTTGAAATTAGCTCAAAATTCTATTGGCATAGCTCAATGAAACCAATCCAACAGCTTTGATTTTTGCGAGCTGAGGAGCTGGGTTTCATGTAAATATCTGAATGTTAGTGAATGATGGACTCTCTACTAGAAACATAAATTACACCGTACCTGGATGAGATTGGGGGGAAAGGTCAGTGAGAGACAGAATCACCTGTGAGACTGGAAGAATAGTATTTTTTAGACTAAACCATTTCTATTTAGAAGGGCTGAACTGCCTGAAATGAAATTTGGTTTGGGACATTTTATCACTGAACTCTTAGTAAGTTCCTTGTACCAACATTTTTGTTGGTACAACCAGAAGTGTGACACTTGCAAACTGATAGGCTCGCTGGCAGACTATACATGGGATTTTCAGGATATGGAGTGATATGATTATGCCAAACACTCTTGCTTTTGGTAATAAAAATAAGCTTAAGGTTTTGTGGTCATAAAAAAGGATGTGACTCACTCCATCTGAAGCAACCAGGTTTATTTGAGCCTGGAAACAACAGGAAACAACAGGAAGTCAGAGTGGGATGCTAACTCCAAGATCCACTGCTCTGAATCATCCCAGTATGGTCCTGAAAGAGGACTCCATGATAAAAGTGTGATATACAGCTCCAGCATATTATTGTTTCTGGGACTAATAGTGGACTTTCTGCTTTTCCATCTGCTTTTGACCTGGATTTTCTTTGAGAAGAAATATTCTATGGCCATGCCCCAGGGAGAAAAGTGAGAAGGCAAAAAGAACATTATATGCTAATTTCCAAGTCACAGGAATTTGTAAACAGTCCATCAAGGCAATAGTTATATATCCATACTTTCTCTGGGAAAACAACATTCTCTTCTGCAAAGCTTTTCAGTCCAGATGATAGAGCTGTGGGTAGCTCAATGTGAAAAAAGTTCTTACTGTGACTACAGAAAATATAATGGGAAGCTAACATCTCTCTTGCAAGGGAGTTTTGAAGTGCAGGCAGGAAACACTCTATGGTTAAGAAACTCATCTCCACAGGTTATGAGAAGCCTACTGGAAAGGTGAAAGCTATTTCCATGAGAGATGGAAAACATTGTACATTATTGACATCAGCTGAGGTGCTACATGATTCTTCTTGACCTTGACTCAGAAACACTGAATCACTAAGAAAAAACATTGAGAAAGAAATAGTGTTTTGATGTGGACAAGTTTATGGCACTGGGGGGAGGAAAAAAAGGACAAATTATTATCTCTAAAGCAGTCTGTAAATAATAGTTTTTACTGTTAAGAGAGGAATTTGCTTTCAAACTAGAGGCTAATGCTTCAGGAAGAAGCTGAGTCAAAAGAAGTACCAAAGTTTCTCATGTTTGATTTAGCTTCTGAATTCTAAAGAGGAAGAAGAATTGGTTTGCTTCAAAGTACTTGGAACACCCTACAGGGATTTTAATTTTGTATTGAAATTCTCTGAAAGATCAATATTTAATGGAATACTACTACAACCCTCAATTTATAGCATACTGCATCACACTGTATTGAATCTTACTGTTGCATTGCTACAATCAATTAAAATAAGCAGCTATATTTTTTAATTAAAAAAATAAAACATTTTTAATTATAAGCAAGCTTTTTCATCGAGCCTTTTCAACTGATAAACTGTAATCAGAAAGACTGGATTTAGATGCTGAGGAATGTAAGCCCTGCCTTCTCTACCATTTTCTTTAAATTCATGACATTTAAAATGTTTTTTTCTGTGAAATATGCAACATGGAAATGCATAATTACATTGTGCTGGAGACTGGATTTATCTTTTCTAATTTGAGTTGACCATGAATTTTACTCAAGCATTTTCTTCATTCCTGCATTACATATGCAGAAACACACAACAGTAAAACATCTACTCCTCTCAAACCTGTGTAAGTAGCTGAAAAATAGGCTTATATGTGAATAGGTGTAGGAATGTACCAAGAAAGTGTTAATCCATCACAAACATTTCAAGGTGATACATCTGTGTCTACTGAAATCGGAACCACTACTCTGCAGCACTTCTTACAACAAAAAGACCTAAATTACAGCAATTTGAGATCTACTGTTCAATCTGCTGGTTTTATCTTCACTTCCATAATGTTATTAAGAGTGGTCCTGCAGCCTCCTCCTTTCTTCTGAGTTGTTAAAGAAAATGCCTAATTTCAATTCTTTTGAAACTCCACACCCTGTAGTAGATTTTTACACTTCCTGGGTTTTTTCTCCCTCTCATTTCCCTAGCTGACAAAAGCCTCTCTCCGGTGACACTGCATCCTAGCACTGCAAACATCCCTTGCTTTCAGCTCAGTTCCACCAAAACCCCTGCACCTTGTCACTAGACTTGCCCCACTACTATCAACCAGGAACCACATAAGAGATTCTGGGGCTTTAAACAACTTTACTTTAATCCCTCCTCAAACTATGTGTAGACAATGAGAGAGTCTGCAAGGGCGGTTGCTCTGCTGGTTGCCTCCATATTCCACATGTGCAGAAGCTTCAGGAAAGCAAAGTGGTAGAAGATTCATGTAACAAAGCTGCTGGGGGAATAAGTGTACTTCCTTGCCTCTGTACTGAGAGGCAGAGGCCACAATCATGACTGAGTCACATCTTGTTAATGACTAGTTTATGTTGCAAACAGCTTAAAATGCAAAGTGTCTTTCACTTTTGTATATAAAGAAATGCTTTCATTAACAGCAGTTTTGGGGTTCTTTCTGTTTATGAGGTGGCCTATAGCCTCACTTTTAAGGAAACAAGTTACCATGAAGCAAGGAGAGACATTGTGAAGTGAAACAAAACACTGACTGCAGCCTGTAAGTTTGTTTGCTGCACGGCGCATACTGCTTTCCTGAGTTCCATTTCCACCTGCCCCTCCATCATTTATTTTGGAATAGTGAAGGAAATATTGTTTTAATGTTTGAATGGTGCTCAGTCCTCAGGCTTGTGCAATGCCTAGTGAGCTGGAAAAAGAAAACAGTAAGATTTTGTAGCAAGAATGTTCTGTGCCATGTCCAACAATAAATTTATTGGAAAGGCAATTTTTCCTCCACAACTAGAAGTGACTTCTTTTCCACTAATGGTGGTACACCTCTTATCATTATCTTTCCCATTCAAGAACACCATAATTCTGATCTGGCCAATTTTTATCACAAGAGAAAACAAAAGCCTTTAAAAATTCCCATCTGGTTCCCTATCACAAAGCAGACAAGCCTGCAACTGTAATATGTTCTCTATCAGAGTCCCTCAGAAGGAAAGGCAACATTTCATTCATTCAGCATCTGCTTTCTCTCCATGAATTAATTTAAAGAGCATGTTGAGCCTGGGTTTCCAGTGGCTGCGCCAGGCTTTGGTCACTGTGATATCTACTTTGCCACTACTGCTGTAAGAATGTCGGCCTCACATACCAGCAGTGGGCCACACTGATGCACACAACGAGAAAAATCCTGCTGGGTTCAGCATGTGATGCCTTGACTTGCTTGATTACTCCCTTGC